GCCAGAACACTGAGTCTCTGCTGTGCAGGCCCAAACCACTTCATCACATTACTGCCTGGACGTGTAGCCCTGAAGGCCATTAACACCACTATAGTTTTCCCCAGAACACAAGAGATACAGAGGACAAAGGTGATGCCGAATGCTGTGTGTCGCAGCATGCAGGACCACTCAGAGGGCCGGCCGATGAAGGTCAGAGAACACAGGAAACACAGAGTCAAGGACAAGAGCAGCAGGAAGCTCAGCTCAGAGTTGTTGGCCCTGACAATAGGAGTTGTCCTGTATGTGAAGAAAATGGCTGCCACAACAGCAGTCATGCATGTTCCAAATAAGGCCGCTGCAGTGAGCAGTGCTCCCATAATTTCCTCATATGATAGAAACTCTGCCTCCTTCTTTACACAGGCATCTCTTCTGTCATTGGACCAGGACTCAGGGTGGCATCGCTCACAGGTGATAGAATCTAGAAAAAATTTTGAAAGCAAAAGTCAAAAGTGACTTGCACAGTAGTTCTTTTTTTCTATTTTTCATTTTCTCTTTGCAAACAAGACACTACATGTTTGCATGTTAATAAATGGATATCTTGTAACATTTACATGGCATACTTAATAATCATTTAGATAGTTTCATAGCATTTTACTTATTTGATTTTTATAGCATCTGTATATTCAACTGACAAAATTATGTTTTATGTAGTAATTTCTGACATTGTGACTCATAGATGTAACAAATAACATTTGGAAGATGACAAATCATGCCAATATCCCACCCTTCATTTCATATGAATGTGACCAAGGGTGGTCTGAGCATGAAATGGATGAACACACCACATTCTGCCCCAACTTCCCCAGGACAGTTACATATTTATTCTACACTGGGGCTTTAACTTTGACATGCACACATATTTCTTATAACTGCCTTGTAAACATGACTGCTTTAAGAATTTTGTTTTGTTGCACACTGAAGTGCCAAATGTTGAATTTTACTAGACCTGTCATATTGCTTATTTCTCCCTCTGCACATCTGATACAGTCATAGCAGCAGACAGGTTTTCCTTTCTGGAGAACCTTGCGAGTTCCTGGGGGACATTTCTCACTGCAAACTGACACAGGCACCTGCATGGACAAAATTACACAGAGAAACATGTATGGGCACTGACTTTGTAAAGGTTTTATCTTTCCAAACCTTTGTTTTTAACTTTTGAAACCAAAATTTATGATACGGTATGGTAACAATAATACATGTACAGTGGTGATATTGTATTTAATAAGTATAGTGATGACATGTTTGTTGACCTGTTTTGAGTTCTGGGCCCAAATACAAGACTCAAGTTGTAGACTCAGCTGTTTGTCTGCTTGTAAAGATGCATCACAATGACCAACTGTGACAAAGTCCACAATGCCATTTTCTGTTGGCTGCCAGTTTATAATTTCAAACTTTTCTGCTGGGTCTCCATTCTCATTAAAGTAAACCTCATCTCCTTCCTTGGTTTTGAAATGAATCTTTCTTATGTGCTGTAAAATCTAAGAAAATGGATTTTAATGTAGTTAATTGGGGTGGCTGTGGCTCAGGAGGTAGAACAGTTTGTCTTGGTCATTTGTGAATGAATGGGAAAAGTGTAAAGCACTTTGAGATCACTTCAATTTGTAAGAAAGCTCAACAGCATGATGGACATACTGCATCAATTTATTATTCAAAATTTTCAACATTTATACTTCTACAAAGTAAAATTGTTTTATTGAACTCACCGTGTATGGATCTAGTTGCACATTGTAGTTACATGTTTCATTACATTCAAAAATACTATGAAGTGCATGTGCCACAGCATACACTCCTTTATAGACATTGTTCAATATAGGCATGAATGACATATCAGTGAAGCTGTTTTTCACTCCAGTCAGATCTTCATGTCCAGTACATTCTCTCTGATTTTCTGCTGATGAGTTTGACTGTTTGAACTTACAGTTAAATAAAGTCTCCCAAAACTCTGTAAACAATTTGTGATTAGATGAATTCAGTAGCTTCACATCTAATATGAACTTTTTTAAGCCACTGACATGTGCTTTGGGGACAGACAAGCCTATGGCACCATCCAGAATGTGATGTGTGTCCATTTCTGCAGTTTGAAAATCAATGATCCATGGCCCACTTCCTACCCACTGGTACCCAGTCAGATTGTACTGAGACAATGCATGTAATAGCACATTCATATCTGTGGCTGAGAGAAAAGTTACAATCACCTTGGAGGTGGAAGCCTTGATAGTGTCAATGATCTTTTTTATTTTAGCTGATGAATCTGTTGTAAAGAAAGACACAGAATACTCCAGACAGATGCCCAGCTGCTGTGCAATTTCTATGAATGTAGCCAAGCCATTATTGCCATAATCATTATTGCTTCTAATAGCTCCAACCCAAATCCAACCAAAGTGCTTGACCAACTGGGCCAGGGCTCTGCTCTGATAATAGTCACTGGGTATTGTTCTGAGGAAGGATGGGTATTTGGTTTTGTCACTGAGACAAGAACAGGTGGAAAAGTGGCTGATCTACAAGAAAAAAAGAAATGACTTCCCCAAGATAAAGATGAGATATAAAACATCTACGCACTCACATTTGAGCAGCTGGAATCATTGCAAATGAATAACTCTATCCAACAAATACTGAATTACATACTAATCTTACCCACCAGTGGGACATGAAAGGGTCCAATGACAGTAGCCATAGCCATGCTGGGAGAGGAAGCGCTACCTCCTAGAAAGGCCTGTGCTTGTCCAGGTCTGGTACATTGTGTCTCAGTGGGTGCAGATACAACTTCATTACCATTAGCCAAGGCCAGTGCAGCCCTCACACTTTTGGCTTCGGAATGACAGTCATCATAAATCTTATAGCCCAGAGAGATGCCAGGCAGTAGATCTGTGCTGTTATTAATCTCCTCAATGGCGAAAATCATTGCCTGGGCACACTGGAACTGTCTGAAAATCAAACTTAATGCAGACAGTTTTAAACTGTTTGACTCAGAGTAGTACTTGAAACAGAAACATCATAGTAAATTTAGGTTTTACTAATACACAGAGCACATAATAGTTCATCCACTTCCTCTTAGATATTTTGAGTCTTAGTTTTTAACCATATAATTTACCTGGTACATCCCAGTGGCAGTGGTTTTTGCATGTAGGTATCCTGTCTGATTTTCCAGCTGCCGTGGAAAGAGAAGATTCCTCCCAGTATAATGTCTCCATCTTTAGATAGCTGTGGGTTCTCAGCATCCCCTATCTGCCAGCACACTAATTCCTCAGAATGAGAAAAATACACCAACAACATCAGCTGTACAAGTGCCCAGCCCTGCTCTGTCCACCTCTGTGTGGACATCATAGAGAACTAAGCCACTGGGTGGCATCACATGTACATTCATACCAACCAGAAGTTTGTACTAGTATTTATACATTTTAAATTAGTATAAAAAAATAAGAAGAGAGAATGAATATTTCCTCTCTCTTGACCTACAAGGCGGGGTGAGGGGAAGGAGATGCCCAAATAAAAGAGTTTGGTCTACAGCCTATAGTAAAAATATTTTCATGTTTGCATGAAAGTAATGTCAGAAATGCTTCATTAAGCTCAGGGAAATTGCAGAGTTGGGTGATATTTTTTTCACAATACATTATTTAATTAGTTATTAATGGAGAAAGCACAACTTTGTTATTACTCATTCTTTTGTGCATGTGACATGCATTAGTTGACCATTTTCTTTTTTTGATTAATGTTATTGGACATCAGTTGTCATACACAGGTCAGACAAACATGCTTGATTAAAATCTTTTAAATTAGTGTCAAGACAAATTGCATCTATGAATTCATGCTGGTCCTGCTTACGCATGGATTCATAGTTCAGACAAGTGAAAATGTAAGTGCCTTCCTCTGTGAGGTTCAGGTTTTAAACTGGATCCAAAAGCACAAAACAGACAGGCAGTTAAATGGTTAATATGTTTACTGTGGGAATAAACATGTGCAAGTGGGGCAAAGCCACTCTGTGGGCAAGAGTCATGAAAAACAGTTACAAAATGAGTGTCGGCAATAAACATGTGCTTTAGTAAACATGATCAGAGGCTTATGGCACACACAATTATGGGGCTTTTTACAGGAGAGAGTTGGTGACCTAATAGTCAATGTTCAGAGATGGTGGTGGAGAAACCCAGAGGAGGGCATTGTGATGAGAAAAGTAGGTAGAGGCTCCTTTGCAGTTGGATTAGAAACCATAAGAAGATGAATGCCTGGCCAGCTGTTATGGACAGTCAACATGTGCTTTGTTGGGAACACAGCACATCACTTACAGTAAACTGGCTTAGAGTAACCGAGTTTTCATTTACTTAAAAACACACACAAACATATATAAATATACAGTATATACATATACTGTTGCTTCATGTTCTTGTTGTCCACGAGCATTTACAAACATATTATCTCCCTGTTAGTGGCCAGGCAGAACTCAGAATGCAGAACTCAGGTTTTGGAACAGCTACTTTATTTTAACACTAGGGAGTATTGAGAATGGGGACAGAAACTGTTACTGGCAGGAGACTACAGACCGGAAGGAGCAGGCCTATGAGGGAGGCCAGCCACGGGGAAGCTAGGCAAGAGCAGTGCAAGGGAGCCACGCTGATCTCTGGCAGAGATGAACTAGGCAGAACCAGAAATCTGACCAGATCTGGAATAGGAACTGGGGCCCTCGGTCACAGACAATGTCCGCCGGGATGCCATGGAGCCGTAAAAACTGCTGGACTAGGAGGTCTGCAGTTTCTCAAGCAGAAGGCAGGTGGGGTACAGCCACAAAGTGTGCCGCCTTGGAGAAACAGTCAATGGTAAGGATAAATGAATTCCCCTTCAAGGGTGGCAGTCCTGTGATGAAGTCCAATGCTATATGCAACCAAGGGCAACTGGGCACTGGCAGAGGGCGTAGGAGCCTGGCAGGTGGTTGGTGGAGTGGCTTGGATTGGGCATGTAGTAGTTACTGCATATGTAATATGTAACATGTAACAGAATACAGTAGGAGTGTGTAGATTACATATAGATATTATTTGCAGTAGGTGATAATAGGCAGTTTGCTGATAGTTATGTAAAGGTGAGTTAAGCATTTATATAATCCTGCTAGATTTGTTTCTCTTCTCTGAAATGTTTGAAGATGGAAACCATGTGAACTATGTACTGATAGGTTGCTCAAGCAAAAACATTCTGGTTTGTGTCCTCTTTGTTTAGTTTATGGGTTCATCTTGTGAATAAACATCTAGAGAACAGCTTCCCATAACTGGGAACCTTAAGGTTTGAGGGGTTAAGTTTGAGAAATGACGTTAGAGCCAGGAAAAAAACAGGAACATTGAGTGAGGCATACAAAACTACTGGATCTGAGGAGAAGGAGGAAAAAAGAGAGACGAAGGAAGGGGAATGAGAAGAGAGAAACGCACTTCAATAAGTTTCTCTGCAGAGAAACTGATAAGGTGATTCTGTATCTTGTCTTCAACATTTATTAATAATATTATTATACCAATAAATAATCACTGCGATGGACTGGTGACCTGTCCAGGGTGTACCCCACCTTCGCCCAATTGCTGGCCAGGATTGGCTCCGCCCCCCCCCCGGAACTATAGTGACTTTTCTGAATTAATTTGTCACGCCAGAACCCATGACAAATTCATTCATTGGGTAGGAGCCAGATACAGGGCACGACACCTGCTGGCGGCCTCCTGGGGGCAGACTGGGGTCCGACAAGTGGTCACTAAATGAAGGTGAGTTTTGCCTTTTTTTTGTAAAATTTGGGCTCCACTCTGTGCTGGGATAGAGCTGGGAGATGTCGGTAAGACCATGTAATTAAGTCTTATGTTAATTTGGCTCTCCTCCAAGTATATGTGTGAGAGAAACTCTGGTGTTTGGTTTTGAGAATAAGATACAGAATTGCTGTTGATAATAATGCTGTAAATGATTGACTAACTGCTGTAAATATCTACTTGTGTTGTTTTTATACTGTATGTCTGATGAAATGATATAGCCTATTGGATTCTAAATGTTATGAACTGACAGACAACGATTGGGTAGAGATAAATTATGAGCTATAACAATATCTGGGTTTGATAAAAATTTATGATAAGGCTGTAAAGCAAGGTCTGTACTGTGTTGTGGGTTCTACAGCTGGTTGGCACTCAAAGATTAGTCAACAAGGTTGAATATTCTAAAATACTGTTGTAAAATTGCTGAGGTTTCTGCAGAAGCAGGCAGATGTTGCGTCCTCGCAGTTAAGGTCTGGCTCCAAAGTAGTTTAGTGTATTCCATTGTTAGATTCTAACCTTTTTGTTAGAAATTAACCCAATTCTTTTGTTGGAAGCACGAGAAGTGATGACAGGAGAGGACTCTTTAAAATCAGCAGAAAGTTTACTGAATGTCTGATCACAGGTAGGCCTTACGGTGCTGGGATCAGAGAGACAGAGCTCCCGCAGGAGTTCCATCCACTGACCTCGAATTCAGGTCTTACAATACATTTTATCTTCTTGGGCTGCTCTGCACTCAACAAAGGTACAACAATTCATGCATTGTAATCCTATTGGTCATTTGGTGAGCTGGAACTCACACCTGGTGTAGATCACATTCCAGCACCATGGTTAGAGATAAATAAAACTAACCTGTATAGGTTCAGAGGGGAGGGGTTCAAACAGACTGTGTCCCGAGTGTGAGGGGTCTGTAGAAATCTTCTATGCCCTCCTTCTGACCTGTGAGGTGTACAGGCCCTCCATGGAGGGCAGGCTTGCATGATCTTTTCTGCAGTCTTGACTGTCTGCTGAAGTCTGTTCCTGTCCTGCTTGGTTGCTGAGCCAAACCAGACAGTGATGGAGGTGCAGAGAACAGACTCAATGATTCCTCTGTAGAACTGTATCAGCAGCTCCTCTGGCAGGTTGAACTGCCTGAGCTCACTGAGCTCAGTGAGTGAGAGGTTGAAGAGCTCCATGGACCAGAGTGAAGACCATGGATCCCACATAAAATGGTTAAAGGTTAATACATACTGATATATTCTTGCATACACGTAGGTGGTGTGAACTCATAGTTTGTTAATTGATTCTTGTTAATTGATTTCTTGTTAATTGATTTATATAATTAAGTTTGGTAAGTATTAATGGTAATTGGTAATGGTAATTTAAATTCTTATTATTGAGTGGTGTTTATGATTATAATAGGATGCAAGGGAATCTTTGTTTTCTTTGGTGTATTAGTTACCCCCTAATGTTATGATTAACCAATGAAAGCTTGCTACACATGATGTTTATGCATTTCCACAATTATGTCTGTTCAAACGCTCTTAGTTGCATTGAATCAGCTTACACATATGGCATACATATAGAGGTCACTGCAAC